CAGCCGAACACGGCTGCCGCGCTCGATGCTGGTAACCACGAGCACAATGAGCGGACAAACGAGTTTGCCGCGCACAAACAGGTGCGCGAGGCAGCCGCGCGCAGTCGATACAAGGCTTTATAAACTAGGGAGGTCAGCGTGTCAGAATACTGCTACCTACACAGGACATAACATCACAGAGAATCTGAACTCACGTCTGTGAATTGAATAACCTTAGAGCCGATTACAAATGTGCTCAAGTGGTCAAGATCTGAGCCTTTGTGTAGGGCTACGTAGTGCAGTAATTAATGTTCATGTGGTAATGAAACAAATCTGAGCAAACTAAGTAGAAGAGCCTCATCAGATATAAATTCTTGTGAAGTATGCCATTTATTATATACAGTCGTGTCTCTTAGTGCATGGCCAACAAATCCTGGCCTGACTAACAGTGCTGCTATCTGTGTCTGATTATGTTATCTTGGGTGGGGGGCAGCGATGAAAAGGAACAACGTTGTCTCGTGAACATTCTGATGTATGAAAATGTCGCATGTTGAAATGTGTTTACAAGTACAATGTTGAACTTACCGACGTTATAAGTTACTGTTATTGATGAGGCTAAATAATGGAAATACTGGACATATTTCATGCCTCTCCGTTTCATCAGAGTATAAAGATATTATTATCATGACTGTATTAGGTAGACAGGCAACCAACATATCTATCACCTAAACTTCCCATTTGTAATGTTGGTGAACAGAATTGAGCGAGATGTAGTTATACTTGCGACAGGATGATAATATGTCTCTGTGGAACTCCAGCCACTTACAGGGCTGTTTTTCACCCCCCAGATTCCACACGAGTAATTATGCAGCAGTGGTAGATTGATAATGACAGTGAAAAATAAAGTTCCACTTTGTTTATTGCAAATTCCACGTTGGCTAACCTGGCAAAGAAGCGCGGGGATCCCGGTTAAGAAGCCAGTGACAAACCGCCTTATTACTGGCACCATAGCCTATTTAATACAGCACAATCAGCTGACACAGTAAACGGCATATTCTAAAACTTGATGCTCAGTAGTTAAGAAGTTACATTATTTTCAGATTGATCTTCAGATGAGCAAGGGCATGGCGTCAGAAGCCACAAATGTCCTGGCCGTGACCAACTCCATGTCAGGACTTACGAGGTGCGATCGGAAAGTTTCAAGACTGCGCCTATAAAAACCCGTACACTTATCTCAGGTATTATATTCATCCATCACCCTCGAAGTAGTTCCCTTGGGAGTGAACACAAAGATCCCAGCGCCACTGCCAAGCCTGGAAGCATCCCTGGAAATCTTTTTTTGTCAGTCTGTCAAGCACCATCTGCGATTCTGCCTGAATCTCTTCTATCGTCATTGTATTGTCATTGAACAGCTAGCTAGCTGGTAAGAGATGAGGGGAAGCTAAATGTAACCCACATCAGGTGGATATGACTTGACAACAGTGGTCAATGCAGCATGTCTGGGGAAGATGACCCAAACAAACATTCTGTAATCTCAAAAGCAGAGAGGTGGCAGCCCCACCACTGATTTATGTATGTGTGGTGTTCATAACACAGCCAGAGTGAACTCTTTGCTACTGATAAGCTTCAAAACTCACATTCTATTACAAGCATTATAACTACTGCCCATCTGGCAGATGACACATAAAAAGACCGAGAACAAGAGATGGAAGGAGACGTAACAAATTATAGGCCAGAACTGGCGATTTTCCTAGTCAATGAAAGTATGATGATGAAGATCACTACTAGGTCTACTTAATTTTAATTTCTGAGAATGTGACTATGATCTTGGGTAAGGCCCTGCTTTGTCCCTTCAGTGCACAGGACTGGTGCAAGGGTATTTTATAACCTAGATGAACCTTTAGCCTTATAGCTCCCTCCCCCATTTAAATGTCTTCAGTCTGTCTTTAAATCGCCAAAATGGCCACACTGTCATCTTCACTGCACACATGTCAGTTACTTGTGTACAGTACCGAGTATTGTTTGTGGTATACTACAAGACTGGGAACATGAACACACATTTCTTCTTTCCTTCAATTTTTATCTTTCTGGTTTTAGACTCTTGTTATATTCTCATCCCAAACCTATCTTTATTTTATATTCACTTTTTTACCACCAGAATTTCATTGCCTCAGACAGGAGCTTTGTTTGCCTAGTGATTAGCCTGGCATCCATCCTAATATAAAGAAATGAACTATTGGATATATATTTGTTCCAAATAATCCATCCCAGTACAAGGCCCTGTGTAATATTTTAGAAGACCACCCCTTCTCGACTGTCCGCTACTGCTTATTCGATATATTCGCAGCTACCTGGAGGTCGTCTTCTCCATTCAAAACCTCAGGACGTGCCACGCCGTGATGACACGGACTTACAATACATGCAAATTGCAGTGGTTACATTATCAGAGCCAAATAAATGGAGATAATGTGAACAAAGTATGGCAAGAAACTAGCAGACATTTCAGGAACAAAAAGATGGAATAACTGAAAGACAAAATTAATGAGTTTATATCTTAACATGACGCAATTAAGATATAAATTGAATAACAGTCAAATAAATTGCGTATATCAATTTTTAAATTTGAAACGAAAGCGTACTAAAGTGCAACGCAAATATTAGATTTAACAAAATATGTTTAAAGGCAAAAATAACACCAAACTATGCAAAAATAAAAATACAAGGAAATAATCCAAATATACCGATAATACAACAAAAAGCAGAAACATTATATATAAAATCAGAAATTAAACAATTATATAAAAAGAAAAATCAATTAAACATATAAA